TTTGCATTAATTATCTTTTTCCTGTCTTTTGCTTTATATTTGTTTTCTTATTTTGTTATTTTATTTTTTTAGACACATAGTTTTGCTGTCTAGCTCAAGCTGGAATGCAGTGGCACAATCATAGCTCACTGCAGCCTCCAGCTCCTGGGCTTAAGCAATTCTCCTGCCTCCACCTTTCGAGTAGCTGGGACTGCAGGTACATGCCACCATGCCTGGCTCATTTATTTTTAATTGTTGTAGGTTGGGGTCTTGCTGTGTTGTCCAGGCTGGTCTCAAACTTCTGGACTCAAGCTGTCTTCCTGCTTTGGCCTCCCAAAGCACTGGAATTATAGGCAAAGTCACTGCACCCAGCCATTTATCTATTTTTTTATATTGAAACTGTAATTCTTATAGATGTGTAGAGTTGGATCTTGGTCTTTTATCCAGCCTTATCTTTGCCTTTTAATTGTAATAGGCCATTTATATTTAATTATCAATATCATTGGTTTTATGTCTCTCATCTTGCTATTTGGTTTTCATTGAGTATTTTATATTTATCTCCCTTACTAGTTCATTAGCTATGTTGTTGCTTTTATGTTGTCAGTGGTTCTTCTAAGATTTATAATATTCCTGTTCACCTTTTTATAGTGTACCTTCAGATTATACCACTTTATGTATAATGGAAGAAACTGACAGCAGTATACTTCTATTTTCCCCTCTTACCTTTGTGCTTTTGCTGCCATATATACTTTACTTATGCTTATGTTGTAATCACCACAATGCATTCTTATTATTTTTGCTTAAAATAAGCAATTATCTTGGAAACTTAAAAACATGAAAGCAAATATCTTTTATATTTATCCATGTATTGACCATTTTCAGTTGTCTTCATATCTTTTTTTAGATATGTATTTTCATGAATTTTCATATTAACTTTAACAATTTCTTTCAATGCAAGTCTGCTTTTGATAAAGTATCTCAGTTTTAGTTTATCTGAAAATGTCTTTGTTTTTACTTTTGGATAATATTTCTAGATTGACAGCTTTCTTCTTTATTATCTTGAAGACACTGTCCTGTTGATTTTGACTTGTGTTGTTTCTGATGAGAAATTGGTGGTCTTGTTCCTCTGTATTTAATGTGTCTTTTTCCCACTAGCTGTATTCAAGATTTTCTCTGTTACTTGCTTTCAGCAATGTAACTGTGATGTGCCTTGATGTGGTATTATGCTTTAGAGTTAAGCTTCATGGATTTGTGGGTTTATAGTTTGCAGATTTGGAAAATTTTTAGTCTTGTGTTTTCATATGCTTTTTCTGTTCCTTATCTATTTGGGACTCCAGTTATACATTTATTGAGCTGTATGTTGTCCTATAGGTCACTAAAATGCTAATCTCTTCCTCCACCCTCCAGCCTTTTTTCCTCTGCTTCAGTTGTATCCTTTTCTGTGTTGCCAAATTTTGTGGTGTTTTATTCTCCATTGCCTCATCTGTTGTGCCCTGCCACTTTCCTGCTTTGTGGTCCAGAAATGGACTCTGAACAGAAAGGGTGATTCTAGGACTAGCCTCATTTGTTTATCTTCTCTCAGACCACAGTCCGGTACTGTGGGTCCCAAGTTATCTTACATATTTTGCTCAGTTTTCTAGTTTTTTATAGTAGGAGAGCAAATCCAGTCCATTTACTATGTTATAGCCAGAAATGGAAGTTGTTTGTTTTTATATATTTATATGTTTTATATTTAGATAAATTATACATATTTATACCTACATTAAAATTATCTATCTCTAGTAACAAGTCACCCAATTGCAAGCCAAATGAAAAATTGTTCTTTCTCAGCTTGCTCAAGATTTTAATGTATTGGCTATGGTGATCCTTTTTTTTTTTTTTTTTTTTTTGAGTTGGAGTCTCACTCTGTCACCCAGACTGGAGTGCAGTGGCACACTCCCGGCCACCGCAACCTCGACCTGCTGGGCTCCGGCGATCCTTCCGCCTCAGCCTTCCAAGTAGCTGGAACTACAGGCACGCACTACCACGCCTGGCTAATTTTTCTGATTTATTGTAGAGATGAGGTCTCGCCAAGTTGCGCAGGCGGGTCTCGAACCTGTGGGCTCAGGCAATCCACTCACCTCACCCTCCCAAAGCGCGGGGATTACAGGCTGAGCCACCACGCCCAGCTGTGATCCTTTTTAAAGCAAGCTGATAAAGAGAAAACTGTTCCAGTAGATATAGGGGTTTCTTTTTTAATAGCCTATGAATGCTACTAAAAATGCAGTTTTGTTATAGTGTAAGTTAGCATAATATCACTGGCTTTTAAAGCAAGTTGATGTATGTTTCTGTGTCTTCTATTTTTATTAAAATCTGCTAATTTTTCCATTGTCTTTTCCTAATCTCTTCATAATAAGAGAAAGTATTGGATATTTTATTAGCTTAGCCTTAAGTAGAGTTCTGCTATAAAACTGTCAAAAAAGAGGGAGAAAATAATAAGGATTACTGGCTGGCATTTTTATTTTATTTAGTAAGTAAAAACAACTCGTTGAGGTAAAACTTGTTTACATTAGGCTCTAGGAGTCCACAGGAACAGCTAGTAGTTACCAATCATCTGAAATGCAGTCAAGAACTATTCAAAATTTAAAGTAACAGCCTGGTACATATTACTTCCAGATCTCTATGCTAGAAGTAAAATATCTAGTTTTATTTTTCTGTTGTATACAAAAAAAAAATCTGTCTTAAGCCGTTTTCTGGCTATTTGATAGCTTATTCCTAAATCACTTTTTTGTAATCACATGATCTTTGGAGGAAGAGGGTATAATAAGATTTAAAGTCATTACTTTTCTTTCATTGTTTGTAGTTTTGAATGTTTATAAGAATTTTTTGGACACTGTGTCACATATATATGTCAGTCCTGAAGACCATTTAAACTGGGCAATCAGTTCATATGTGGACCTTCAAGGAAGTCTTCATCTTCAATAAATTTCTGTGTCTTCCTTCTTTATATTAAAAGGTGACTAGACCCAAGTGGCAGAAAGAGATGGGACTTTGGGCTTCAGCACCTAGTGACTTCTGACTGTAGTTCTCTTGCAAAGTAGTCTTTCCTCTCTTTAAATAGCAACTAGATTGATTAGTGCAATTTTCAGCTTCTTTTCTGGATAGTGTTTACAGGAGAATAGTTTCTGGATTCTCTAAGAGTGACAGTTCTGGTATCACACAGATTGTTTAAAGTTCCTGCTAGAAAGAAATCAGTATTGGACTAAACATTGCCGCTTTTTACTGTTTTCTGAGGCAGACATGGAAATTCTGCCTCTTGACAAACTCAGAGTGAATTATATTCCTCCAGGATATCCAAAACCCACTCCAACCACTTTCTAAATTCAGATCACTGAAAGAGTAGATAAATCCCAATAATCTTCCTGGTCCCTCACCCCTATCCTCCCAATATGGAAGCATTGATTCTATGCACAGAAATCACCTATAAATTCCCAAAGTTGATATTTAAATTAATTTTAATTCTATGTTCAGGAACCCTTGTGCTGATTTAAGGGAAAACTCCAGCAATTTTCATCCCTACCTGTCTTTATTTCTCCTTCACACAACTATGACTTTTGACATGACTGACTAATTCCAAGGAATATTCTAATCCTCCTAAAAATTCTGGAACAGTAGAAGAAGTTATTTATTTTCTCAAATAGAAATGCACGAGTTTGTAAAACACACACTACTCATATCAAAGAAACTGAAGTTTAACTCAGCTTGGCTGAAGTAACTTCCCAGCATTCAGACCAAGAGTTTTCTTTCTTCTCCTCATCATTTTTTAATGAAACCTGAAGGACATTCAGGCAGAGCCTGTCCTTCACTGAGTTGGACCACTTCATCTGTTTCTCATAGCCAGCGTTTGGACTTGCTCTTTCTGTCAGCCATGTGACCTCTCTGGTCATTTTGAGTCTCTTCTCCTCTTAGCTACCAGCCCTGGAAAGCAAAAGGCTTCAACACTTGCAAATTGCAGATGTCCTGTTTCCAACAGCAGGCATGTCTCAGTTTTTCCCACTTTCTAAGATTCCCTGTAGTAAACTCAGTCTTGTCCATTTCTTTTCCCATCCTTCCTACTTTCCAAAAAAATGTTTTTCCCTGGCTTAGAATATAAAAATACTTTACCATATGCATTCTCATTCAAGTAATCACCAAGTTATTAAAAATGCATATGCTGAGTGATAGAATAATTAAAAAGAAAGATAGCCTTTTTCTTCCAGATAAATACTCACATTTTCTTGTTTTGCTAATACCAAATGTCTATTCATAGAGATTTGTACCAAAGATGTTGGCAACATTTACATCAGTTACTAGTATTTGATGGGAGAAAATGAATGAAGAATGAATGTTTTGGGAAAGCAGTTGCTCACTTCGTTTTTTTCAAGTTATTCTTTTTTCCCATTTTCAGTTTTTGTTTCCCTTGGCTATCCTTCCATTGGCAACCCTTTTCCCTTTTATTTTTCTTTACCTTTGAAAGTGCCATAGGCCAGGCTCGTTGACTCAGCCTGTAATCCCAGCACTTTGGGAGGCCGAGGTGAGTGGATTGCCTGAGCCCGTGGGTTCAAGACCTGCCTGGGCAACTTGGCGAGACCTCATCTCTACAATAAATAAAAAACTAGCCAGGCGTAGTAGCACGTGCCTGTAATTCCAGCTACTTGGAAGGCTGAGGCGGAAGGATCTCCGGAGCCCAGCAGGTCGAGGCTGCGGTGGCCGGAAGCGTGCCACTACACTCCAGTCTGGTTGACAAAGTGAGACTCCAACAAAAAAAAAAAAAAGAAAGTGCCCTACTCTGCTTCTAACTTTATTTTTTAACTTAATCTTCAAAATATGGGATCTTATATTTAAAACTCATAGTTAAAAACATGTTAAAGTTGGCTCTCCACATTAGATTGTTGGTATCTTAGAGTGAAGTGAACAAAGAAGGATGACGAGGAAATTACTCTATTGAACTACTCTCCAGGAAATCCTTCTCTGTACTTTTAAAAACTTTTGTTCTTTTTCAGGAGTCCAATGTGCTGATTGCTGCTAACAGTCAGGGTACAATTAAGGTAAGCTGTTTTATACATCTCCATTTTTAAACTCGGATCCATTTTTAGACTATAACAGAATCATGGAAATACACGATTGTACTGAACCTTGAAGATCATTCCAAATCATGAGTCTCTGTCTTCTTGGAAATGGTTTGATTGAAGGGAAAAAAGAATAGGTAGGTAGCTTGCAACTATGAAGAAGATGATAGTCCTTGTTGAAGTTGTATTGATACTGGATGTATTGATAGATGGTCAGATTGGAAAACAGGTGAAGATTGCTAAACAGTCACTCTGGGCTAGACATTGTTTAGTTTCTATTATGTAGTGCAACTACCCCACAGGGTGTTTGGTTGACAGGGCCCAAGATACATCAGCAGATGCTTAGATGCTCACTGGATTTCAACCTAGCTTACTCTTATTTTATTCTTCTCTTTCTCCTTGTTTCTCTTCCTTCTGTTTCCTGAAAAGTAGGGTTTTTTCCTCAATTGCCGAAGGGGGAAAAATATTTTAGTGTTCAAGAGAAAATTGACTGATGGCTATTTAGTACTTTAGCATGATACATTGTATAAATAAATCCTGAGCTAAGCGGTGAACTTTCTAAACGAAACACCATGTTGGTAGAGGTTTTCAGTCCATGAGTTTGATCAGCACTTGTTCTGAGGTTGGCTGTTCTTTCCAAATATTCTCTGCTGATTTGGTGGAAATATCGGGATTTTTTAAATTAAATGTCTATTTCCCCTGCCACTTAGCATTAATTTGTCATAGGTTACTTAGACTTCATCTTAAGTGGAGAATGACCCAGCAACCAAGGGAGCAAATCCAATTCTATCACATTTTCCAGTGGAGGTGAAACAACCAATATCAAAGCATAAGAACTGCACTAAATTACATGGTCATCTCCTGTTTTAGGCAGCTAGTTTCTCTGTTTGGAAAGCCTCTTTAGAGAACCATGGTCAGGTCAAATGAGAACCAGGCCTTTGAACTATCAATGTTTGTTTTGCTCTGGAATTTCAAAGCAAGATGGCAGAATATCTTGGAAATCTCTGATTTAGGTATCTCTCTGTAGGCTCTCAGTCTTTCTCTGACTTATTCTCATGTCAAAGCATGAAATGAAAGGACACCTCATTCTTCAAGTTTGGGCTTTCGAGCAATTGGGATTGTTAAATACCTGCAGGTGCTCAAAACTACATAGGCATTACCGAATCTCACTGACAAATCTCAGATTTTGTTCAGCAGCATTGACCTCTTAAGTAGCCTACTTGCTTTATATAATCAAAGGCATTAGGGAAGCACAGATATTAGTAAAACCTTAGCAGAGCAAGAGGGGAAAGATTGTACCTATAAATATTTGCCACTTAGAATTGTAGTCTTCATCTAATATAATCCTTTTTAATAGTGTCTTATAAGCATCCTCATGTTCCTATGTCCTTTCTTAGCTATTCGCATCCTCTTATTTTTAGTTTTAGCAAATCACAACTTACTTTTATGACAATATACTACTTTGATTCCAAAAATTAACAAAATATCTTGATGCCAGATGATTGACTAGGAAATGAATGCAGCAGTAGGAAAAGGCACAATTTTAGGTCCTGTATATCTTGATCACTATAAGCAATGTTTATCGGTGGAAGAAACAGATAAATTAAAATCCTAAACAGTAACAATTTAAATTTTCTTAAGAATGGTAAAATACCAAAATATGTTCCAAAAATGTTATATCTGTGCTATACATCATTCAGTTCATTTATCGGTATGTTTTATGTAGCTTATCTTGAAGGCTCCCTAATTAACTGTGCAGATAATCGTGCAGCTGTTGAACTGAAAGTCAGAAAGGATTCGTGTCCAAACCCTTCAAATTCTTAGGCATTTTGCCAATTGGGAAACATTTTTTAAAATTTGGTTCTCCATTGGTAAACATAGTAAAGATTCACTAAACTCATTCTGTATTTTAAAACTTTTATTAAACTTATCCTTTTCCCCCCAACTAGGTGCTAGAGTTGGTATGAAGAGTTTACTCAAGTCAATTTGTACTTGATCCTGCTGAAATACATCTGCAGCTGACAATGAGAGAAGAAACAGAAACTGTCATGTGATGTCTCTCCCCAAAGTCATCATGGGTTTTGGATTTGTTTTGTGTATTTTTTTCTTTTTCTCTTTTCCTCCTTTATGACCTTTGGGACAACATTGGGAATACCCAGCAAACTCTCCGCCATCAATGTAACTCCACGGACTTTGCTGCTGTTGGTGGTGTGGTTATCTAATCTTTGTGATAGGGAAGCAAATTCTTTTGAATAAAAATAAATAACAAAAAGTAATAAAAGTTTATTGAGCCACAGCTGAGCTGGGGAAAGTTTTTGTCAAACGTAGCAAGAGATATTCTTTTCAAGAAGGAGCACACATGAACTATAGAATAATATAGTAAATAATGTGAAGGTCCATATTACCCAACCTCTTTGGAATTATGCATAAACCAATGTAAAGCATAGATTCCTTCCAGCGAATTTAATGTTTATAGTAGCTGGAAAGATTACTTTATGAGTTCCTGTTTTTATATTCTGACCAGATTTACATCATCAGCAAGTACCATGCTCTCCAGTCTCTCTGGATCTGGCAAAGGATCTCAAATTTTGACCTGTTGAGACTACTTTCAAACAGAAAGGGAATGCCAGTCTCTGGTAGCAAACTCTATCTTTGCATTTGAAATGTCACATATATATACTATAAACCCTAAATTTAGACTCAGCCAACTAGCCATAGCTATTAGTATGTGCCATCCTGAGCTGAATAATGACTTGGAGCAGAGGTCAGAAAACATTTTCTGTAAAGGGTCAGTTAGTAAGTATTGTAGGCTTGGAGGGCATAGGTTATTATCACAACTACTCAATTCTGCCAACGTAGCAGGGAAGCAGCACTGGCAATATGTGAACAAATAAGCATGACTGGGGAGCTGGCAGAGTGTCAGATTTGACCCACAGACCATAGTTTGACATCCCCTCACTTAGAGGAAAAAAAAAATTGAAACGATATTATCCAAATTCCCAAGCCATATAATCTCTTAAAACGTCTAGTTAATTTGATAAATTGTTTTCAAGTTGTAAAAGGAAAGGAGATGATAGAGCATCAGGGTAAGCAAAAGGAATATAAAGAGCTGCTTTAAATGATATGAACAGAGTATACTTCACATTTATAAAAGTAGACATTTGGAAACACTTGGTTGAATTAAAATAATACATGATGACGGTAATCAGAATGTCTCAATATCTTCTTTTTTTTCCTCAAGAGACAGTCTCACTTTGTCACCCAGGCTGGAGTACAGTAATGTCATCATAGCTCACTGCAGCCTCTAACTCCTGAGCAATCCTCCTCCCTCAGCCTCCTGGGTAGCTGGAACTACAGTGGTGTGCACCACCACGCTCAGCTAATTTTTTTTTTTTCGTGGAGATAGGGTCTTGCTATGTTGCCCAGGCTGACCTCAAACTCCTAAGCCTAAGCAGTCTGCCTGCCTCAGCCTCCCAAAGTGCTGGGATTATGAGCATGAGCCACCATGCCTGGCCCCGATGCATTCTTTTTTTTCTTTTGTGTTGGAGTCTCACTCTGTCGCCCAGACTGGAGTGCAGTGGCACGCTCACGGCCACCGCAGCCTTGACCTGGTGGGCTCTAGCGATCCTTCTGCCCTCAGCCTTCCAAGTACCTGGAACTACAGGTGCGCACTACCATGCCCAGCTAATTTTTCTGATCTATTGTAGAGATGAGGTCTCGCTAAGTTGCCCAGGCGGGTCTCGAACCCACAGGCTCAGGCAATTCACTCACCTCAGCCTCCCAAAGTGCGGGATTACAGGCTGAGCCACCGAGCCCGGCCTCGTTCTCTTACTCAAAATTACTGAACCCTACTTCAGGTTCACATTTTGTTAACTGAAATGCTTGGGGCCAAATGTATTTTGGAACTTAGAATTTATTGAATATTAGAAAAATATTTAATAGAGATATGTTATATAATAAGTAATAGCCGCCAAGAGAGTCTAGAACAGTATGCCATAATCAAACATTCATACTTATGCTTCAAAATGTATGAATGTTCACATTGCATGAGATTAATTAATAAAGGCCAAAAATAGTCTTGCATCAGTTTAGGTCTGGTTTTACCATCAAACCAGTGTGCCTCAAACTTAGGCGAAATGTTTCTGTGTTCAAAGCTTCAAGAGCATTACATCATACTCACCTCTGGAAGTTAAGGCTCAATTCTGAGAAGAAAGGCCAATGTCATTCAAAATGCACGTCACCAACCAGAACATTGTTAGTCAAGTATTGTTTCCAAGATTAATGAAAGATCTTTTGAAAAATTACAGAGAGACTATTCAGATATAGATTTTTCATGAAAGGAACTTCATTTAGGCCAGAAAAATCATCAAAACAGGAAACTAACAGTTAATGCCTCTTTGATTATATTTTAAGTAGAAGCAGATTATTGTCATATTTTATTTGGTCTTACTTTCCTTAATGTTTTATTTCAAACTGTTAACACTGTGGAATCATTTAATTTCCATATGTTTGGGATGATACAGTAAGGTACATTTAGTTATTAGAGGGACTATTTTTTTAATAAATTACTTTAAAAGGTGCTTCATTTAAATTTTTTCTGTATTATAGTGAGAAACCATTTTTAAATTTGAGTTAGTCTCTGCAGGATTTCAAGATAAAACTAAATACTTTTTCTTGTAAAAATAACTATTTAAATAATTCTTAAAGATAATGTACACTTTAACACCAAAAATGCACCTCACTCAAGAATACTGAGTTGTTAAAATATGTTACAAGTTAATCTTTTTTTCAGTGGATTTGTAGGGGTTTCTCATACAGAGCTTGCCTTTGCTCTCAAATGCACAACTCATGAATAGGAAACATTAAAGACTGAATGATTTTTTAAGGTTTTTATAAGAAGATTGAGCTATTAAGCATCAAAATATGTATGGGACTGTGCTACAATTTCAGAAAAATTAACCTGGATGGGCCATTATTAGTAAGCAAGGAAGAGAAGCAAGTATGAGGAGCCCAACAGAGTAGAACCTTCTAAGGGTTTAGTTGAGAATTTGAGTTTTGTTATAAAGGCACTTAAAAGGAATGGCATGATCTGACTTTGTGGTAAATTGATAGATAAGGGCAAGTGTGAAATTAGGAAGATGATCAGTTGAGTTTTGGGGGCTTGAACTAAATTTGTGGCATTATCTAACCTAAAGGCCTGTTTTAGCTGATAGAGTTCACTTCAATCTTAATTCCTAATCTTGAAAGGTTATTAATTTTTAAAGTAATTGTCATATAAATTGTGACAAATGTAACTCAGTAAGTTTATCTCTTCAGTGGTTATACAATCTTCAACCAGCAGTAAGTGACTTGGGAATCTCATGGCCAAAATATTCATAAGCTATTTTGGATCATCACTTTTCTACGATAAGCAGAACTAGAAGCTTTTTAGCCCTGGTCCTAAACATAAGTGGAATAGGCCACTGCCCATAATGGAATTATGCAGGTGTAATTAGTAGGATTAATGGTTACTTAGAAATGAGACACTAGAAGATGTCATCTTAGATCCTATTTTGTTAGTTACATTGCTGACATTAACCCTTGTGGTGGTAGCAGAAGAGCAGTTAGCTATCAACTTAAATGTGGCTTCTGGTTAATGTGTTAGACACTTCAAGACTTGGAGTGAAGAGAAAACCATAGTGATAATTCAAGAAATATCTGCTGAGCTCCCACTTTGTATGGGGAACTATGTACTATATTATGATCCCTACCCTCAATAAGTATATTGTCTAGTAGGAGAGACATCTGAGTATGCAAGGTTTAAGTATCATGCTATACAAAAGCTTTAGGTGTACATAGGAAAAACATGTAACCTAGAATGGTGGGAAATTAAGGGCTGGGAGTAGAAGCAGCTCTCAGGAATTTTTTTCATATAGGAAGTGACCTCAGCTGAATTCATGAAAAGCAAGTAAGAATTAAGCTATAAGAGGCAACGGAACATTCAAGACCAGTGGAAGCAAATTTTAAAAGTATGAGTAGCTCCCATGACCAAACAGGAACAATTTCAGGAACAAAAAGTAATACTGGCTTATAACCCAAAGTATTAAGTAAATATCCACAAATTCGTACTGATAAGAACAAATTGAAAAGAGACAAATTTTCCATGCGGGCTTCCAAGTAATTTATGTAGATAAAGAGATGGAGCATAACTTCTTACTCCTCAAGTATTGACTGTGCATACTGACTTCCAAAGAATACAGTATGGAAAGGGAGGAAAAAAGAGTACATTTACAATAGAGAAACCTCACAAAGACTACCGTAACTAGGTGATCAAATTTTGATGATGATCAAAAGTGGTGTCTTATTGATAGTAGTATACTCTTCATATGATGTAATGAAAATGGCATTTTAACTCTGGTCTTTCTTCCAACAGTAACCCCATAACCCTAGTCCAACTGTGAAAAACATCAGACAACTCCCTACTAAATACCTGATCTGTACAGCTGAAAGAATATTTTATTCCAGCAACTAATTAGTGAGGGAGATTCAGTCCACTCCTTTGCCTGACACCTCTGCTGATGGTCAGGAGTGGATATGAGCAATTGTTCAAAAAAAATGTATAAAGTCATTCAGCCACTGGCTATGGTGGTTTCACTCCTTCAGCAAAAGTTGTAGTGCCAACTATGTAGTAGTGTCTTCTAGGCCGGAGCCAGCAGATTTTTTTTTCTGTAAAGAGCCAGATAGCAAATATGTTAGACTTTGTGGACTAGAAAGTCATCATAGCTACTTAATTCTGCCATTGTAGCTTGTGAAAGCAGTCCTGAATAAAATGTAAACAAATGAATGTAGCTTTGAGGATAGACTGAAAAAACCAAAGCTTTTTCTATCAATAATCAACACAGAAGACTTCTGTGACCACTGGTCACCAAGAAGTATATGGGGATGTCTCCCCACCACCAACCAGTCCAGTGCAGTCGACACCAGCTGGGTGTCCTTCAAGTCAGACCCCACAAGTGAGGGCTCAGTGCCACAAAACTGGCTCCCCACTACCAGTGTCAGTGACAAGCCCCAGATTGTTTTACCTGTGCTTCCGACCCACTGGCTATAAATCAGAGTTCTCATTACCTGCTCCTTGGGTTCAGTTGATTTGCTAGAGCAGCTCTCAGAACTCATTAGAACACTTAGTTTTATCAGTTTATTATAAAGCAAAGGTGTCCAACCTTTCAGCTTCCCTGGGCCGCATCAGTGAGGAGGAATTGTCAGGCTGCACATCAATTATATAATATAGTTAGTGTATATACATAGTGAGACTTTTAA